CGTGTCCGCTCGCTCTTGTAGAGAGATAACAACTCGGAGGCACGAGGATAATGAACCACAGACGAGCAGGGAAGCAGCAGCCAGGCGGCGAGCTAACGCCACATTCCCCAAGTTCTACGGTCCTGCATATATGAAGGTGTTATCTTGCTAATTAATGAGTGTCCAGACGTGAGAGGAAACCAGAGCACCTGGAGAACACCGACGCATGCAACGGAGAAACATTCTATCCCACATAGACTGAACAGATGGAGTCCACATTTTTCTCTCCTGCCGGCTCCTGGCAAGCCAGGCTATGGCACTGTGACCCCAGTGGGGAGTTTTGCTACATTTGCGCGGTGATCCACCAACCCTTGCTGGCTCCACAGTGCATCACTGGATTGGAGGCGCGTGTCATCACCACCGCCCAGAAGAGGAGGCCACACACGCTCCAGCGCTCCCTCTAGAGGCCCATCCTAAATATTTTACTTCACCTTATGTAGTGGATTCAACTGAGTCGCAGACATACTTCTTGGAGGCAACACATTTATTAACACCAACTCATTAACACAAAGGGTTACTGCCCCTTTACCAGATAACCTATGGTGGTGGACCACCAGGCTAACTACGCTAGTTACTGGGAGTAGCTACAACGGACAGGACCCTGGCTTGGGTCCTCGTCCACGTGTTGGTGACTTCTTTTCTTGGACGTAGAACGTAGATCGTAGATCTTCAGATGACAACAGTAACGCAGAGCCCTGGTCCCTGTGGGGAGCCCGGTTTATATGCTCCCGGGTCGTGGCTGGCCTTGGTCACCTTCGAGGACCCTCTTGTCGATTCTCGACCCTTTCCGTAGGATTTCTCACCCTGACACGTGACCACTCCCTAGCCCCCGCCTGGGGCCACTGTGTAGATCTTACTGGTCACGTGCCTTCCAGGGTCAACCAGAGTGCCATGGCCCAGGGTAACCTCACCCCATGGCTGACACTCTCACACTCCCTCATGTAGGAGTCGGCACTGCACGCCACGCGTGGTGCCACTGCGCTATCCCAGCGCTCACCGAGCCCCCTCTAGGGCTGGTACCACACCCACCTACGGGGTGTCCACGATGACGGTGCATCGCACGCCGTGCCTCGCTCGAGCCGGCATTAATCAGCGACATTCACGATGTCGCTTCATACATGATATCCGCGATGTGAGTACATTGCACGCCATGACTTTCTAGGGCCGGCGCCACACAGTGACATCTGAGATGTCACTACACTTACATTAATTTCAAGCAAAGCAACATTAAACGCTGAATGTTGGTCGACCATTGAAGATGTAATATTTGATCAATTCTTGGGTATATGTCCAGATAATTTGATTTTCTAAATGTGATTTGGTAATAAAGGCTGTGCATGTGAATCCACAGTGAGCTTGCCTGATTATGACCTGCGTGTTCTCCGTGGCTGTAAGCGTGAGGAAAGCGATGCGAAGATCAATGCCTGGGATTTCACGGCGTTCAACTCGTATAGGAATTGACAACATTCTCTTAAAATTTCGGATTCTAGAAAGGACTGTCAACCTGTATTAGCCCACCTGGTGATGGGTAAAGGAAGGCAGCCCCAGTGCTTACGTGCGTTCTACATGTCGAGGGTTTTATGCACGGTGTATTGTCGCATATCTGACTGCCTTAACCAATTAAACGGCCACACCCAGTACCATATTGTGCGTGGGGTCATTTTCGATTATCGCATATCTGAGCTTTTCACGTATGTAGAACTTCTTTCGCACCGTACTTAGCTAACCGTGCTAATCGGAGGTGTGAACATATCCGCCTACACCTCGGTCCCCAGCGAGTCGGTTATGCGACGCTGTACAGTATGTGCACATTGCCTCTGACCAAACCGCCCGGGTTGTGCCGCATATTGCCAAACATCAGAAAGCCAAGCAGGTTAGTGCTTGGATGGGTGACCACCACCATGCACGGACAGGTCGTCACGGGGCTGTGGAACTCACCATGTAGCCACAAAATAATCCATGGTGACACTGTGGTACTGCCATTCCCCCAAATGCACGCTCCCTACCTTCGCCAAGCCACGCTGACCAGCGCGATGAGGTATGCTCAAACCACCCCCATAACCGGCACGGCGTGGGGAGGCCCTCATCCAGCAGTGGACTGACAAAATAACTTTTTCCTTTCGTATTGCCGATGTACATGCAGAGCAGGAACTACAATTATACATTCAGGTGGTCAAGCCAGGCGCCGGCAGCAGCGGAGTGTATCGCTATGATTGAGCTGCACATGTGCATGTATTGTTTGTACGGGCTGTTGGTGATGACAACGCCCAGGAGTTTCGTGTGAGACTCCCGAGAGAGAAGGGGTCCCTGCCAGGCCCGGAGTGGAACTGTGTTGACCCTTCTTAACAATGCTTTCTGTGTTTAGTTAAGCAGAATGGAATTTGTGATGAATCACAAAGACAACAAAGATCCCCAAGTTGAACACGTAGGCTTTCGCGACCAATATTATTCATAATAAAGGTTTTTGGGTTAGATCGCGTTATTTATAAATGTGTCGTAACCCTCCACTACCCGACACGGTCAATCAGCAAAAAAAGTGTCACGTTGACAAAAGACAATTAGTTCACTACTTTAGCCCACCGGTGTGTTGAAGAGTGAATCCACAACATTTACAGTTTGAATACGACGTTTCGCTGGTAATTACATCCAGCATCATCGGGCAATTCGCCAGAATGGTAAAGCCCTCACTTGCTCTCGGTCTTAAATAGAGCAGCAGGGTGACGTCATCATTTAACTCATTCAGGTGCAGTAATTATATAATCGATTGGTAATCAGTCAATGGTTATGATTAGTAATGAGTTGTAACGTGTGTTATTGTGAATATATGCCACGTTAGTAATCTGTTAATTAGTATGTGTTTCCCCTATAAGGAATTGTAATATGTATTATTTAATAATACGCTTCCAAGCCGCACTAAGCCTATAGCTATCAGAGCGATTAAAGTTATTTCTATTTCTCTCAATTTCAATGGATTCTCTAATTAGTCTTTGCGAGTAATAATTAGTTTTACATAACACTTCAACGTTCTCAAAATCAATTGAGTGTCCTTGTTGACAAGCATGTTCTGCCACTGCCGACAGTTGTGTTTGAGATAATTTAATATTTCTTTGGTGTTCTTTTAGTATGTAATTATCAGCGAAACGTCGTATTCAAACTGTAAATGTTGTGGATTCACTCTTCAACACACCGGTGGGCTAAAGTAGTGAACTATTTTGTCTTTTGTCAACGTGACACATTTTTTGCTAATTGGCCGTGTCGGGTGGTGGAGGGTTACGACACATTTATAAATAACGCAATCTAACCCAAAAACCTTTATTGTGAAAGATCCCCCATATAACCTTCACTGACTGTTGGGGCAAGTGCTATTAGCGAGCACCTATGAAGGCCGCATCAGCACACGAGGGGGTGACTTTCCACCACCACAGCCGGCCACCTTTGTCTCCTGAGTGGCAATGTTTACACACCACACCAGATACTCATTTGAGGCCGAGTCGACCTACGGGAGCCCCAGAAACAGTTCAGAGAATCGTCACTGGTGTTGGTGGCCATGAGCCGGAATCAAACTCAGGTCGGCAGGTTTATAGCACAGCACGCTAACCGCTACCCTACCGCTCCCCCCTCCCCAACACACACACACACGATGCCCCATCATATCCCCCAAATCCAAACTTTGGTATTTAGCAGGTGAGGCCCACTGAGCTATATAGCTATTTTTCAGAAGCGACCTGGCCACAAATGATAGCTCAACGAAGTGGTTTATCGCGTGGAAATTTCTAGCAGCCAAATACTCTAAACGCACACGTTTCTAAACTTGGAGGGGAAATCCGGAGGACCCGGAGAAAAATCCACGCGATCACGGGGAGAGAGACGCACAAACTACAATTATACAGCAGGCGTCTGGGGTCAGGATCGAACCCACAACCTCCTGCATACCAGGGGTGGGAGCTAACATCTCGCCACCAAACCCACTCCCCCCAAACCCAAACAAAACCGAACCTGCTGCACGTCTGCCACCGGGGGGCACTCACGTCTTTGCGAGGCGTGCCGCGTCTTCGGCCGCCCTCCCGTTGACGATGAGGGAGGCTCCGCTCGCGAGGCCGGCCAAGAAGCACTCCACGATGCCGCGGTTCCTCTGCGGGCAGTAGCCCATGTCGTCGCACACCACCAGCAGCCGCCGCCGCCGCCGCACCACACGGGGCTCGCTCATCTCCTCGGCCATGCCGCGCGGAACGCTGGGGCCAGCAGGAGGCACGGGGGGGGTGGGGGCAAGGAGGAAGAGTCAATAAACCGTGTCCTTATCACTCTTCTATGGCTACTACTACTGCCACTACCATGGCTACTGTTGCCATTTCACTCCTTGATTCCTTCCACCCATGGTGAGGATGCTACCAGACTTTGTTCCGTTTCATGCACAATGTGTTCAACCGCCACACGGCAGGTCGCAACAACAGCAGCGCTCGTGAACTCACACACCCGCCTACTCATCCATCCGCTCACTCCACACACCGCAGTTCACAACACTTCGCTTCTTTCTCTCCCATCGATGGTTTTCCCAAGTTATTACAACGTAACCTTGTATTAACTCGAATCTATTACACCTTCAACAGTGTTGTGTGTTGGCCGTTTGAGTTGTTGGGGCTATGCTCAGGAACTGTGATTGGTGACAGGCAGGGGGCGCAAGAACGCCGGAGCGCGCACACAAATAGTGATGGAGAGCAATAGCCACGCTGCACCGAAAACACAAATAGTAATGAAGAGCAGTAGCCACGCTGCACCGAAAACACAAATAGTGATGGAGAGCAGTAGCCACGCTGCACAGAAAAATCCTGCATCCTCAAACAAATGTAATTTAATCTCTGCTTCAACGACCAATTGATATCACATTGGTTTGGTGCAATGCATTTGCACTCCATCCATGGCCTAATCATCATCAGCCATGCTCTGTCGTCTGTGTGCAGCAGCAGCAGCAGCAGCGTCGCCGAGTCAGAGCACTCAACCCACTGTGGCAAGGGTGCGAGTTCAAAATCTCTGTCAGGGGGTGACTCGGCTCATCGTTCTTTTCGAGATGATAAAATGAGTAATGATTTTGTAGCAAGCCAAATGATGTTGTGAATATTCTGTTCCCCTGCCGTAATAATGTGGGATAGTCGCCAATGCCACAGTACTGCTGTTTATAATAAACACCAGACCCCAGCTCATTTGAACACCACAGGTACACATTTGAATACAGGTAGACATCTGAACACAGGTACACATTTGAACATAGGTACACATTTGAACACAGGTACACATTTGAACACAGGTACAAATTTGAACACCACAGTTACACATTTGAACACAGGTACACATTTTAACACAGGTACACATTTGAACACCACAGGTACACATTTGAACACAGGAACACATTTGAACACCACAGGTACACATTTGAACACCACAGGTACACATTTGAACACCACAGGTACACATTTGAACACCACAGGTACACATTTGAACACAGGTACACATCTGAACACAGGTACACATTTGAACATAGGAACACATTTGAACACAGGTACACATTTGAACACCACAGGTACACATCTGAACACAGGTACACATTTGAACACAGGTACACATCTGAACACAGGTACACATTTGAACATAGGTACACATTTGAACACAGGTACACATTTGAACACCACAGGTACACATTTGAACACAGGAACACATTTGAACACCACAGGTACACATTTGAACACCACAGGTACACATTTGAACACCACAGGTACACATTTGAACACAGGTACACATCTGAACACAGGTACACATTTGAACATAGGTACACATTTGAACACAGGTACACATTTGAACACCACAGGTACACATTTGAACACAGGTAGACATCTGCACACAGGTACACATTTGAACACCACAGGTACACATCTGAACACAGGTACACATTTGCACCCCCGGTCAAGTTTCTGAATAATAAGCTCACCTCTTCACCCAGCGGTATCAATAGGTACACATCCGTTAGTGCATCAGCGGGTCATGTGCCGTCAGGTCAAGTGTGGGTACTCGGACCTCAAGGTGCCATACCCTGGCTTGCCAAAATACATTACCATACAGCAAGTGGCCTAATCGCCATCCGATTCCATCTGTACGGGGAAAGAGCGTTGCCCCCTCGCACAAGGCGTGGGTTTTCTCCGGCTCCTCCGGTTTCCTCCCACACTTCATAAAATAAACACAACTCATCATTAGTTGGATAAAACCCAAAATCCAGCGGCAGGACCTGCCTGGAAACGAGTTCAACGACTCCGATTAGTACGGTTGGCTACGTACGGTGCAAAAGAAGTTAAACATGCAGTCTGTTCTCGTATAGCCCGTGTTTTCAGAATGCGAACTGAATATAACGCGATGAATGTGTAGTGTTCTTCACGGAGGCACACACTTGACTTGGGGGCAACGCGTTGCTTACACAGCCCAACGGGGTTAACTACACACGCTACAGGGTAACTACATAACCGGGTCAGTCAGTAACCTCCTGATTGACCCACGGAGACCGTAGATCAGAGAGACGTAGAAACAGCCAAGAATGCTCTCGGGACTGCCCCTTTATGCTGCTGGGCGTGGCCTCGCTCCACCTTCGGCCACGCCCCCTTCGAGACCTTTCCCGAAGGATCTCGACCGAGCATCACGTGTCCCTCAAGCCCCCCTCGGGCCCCCCTCACTACCCTGTCTCGGTCACGTGCCATCTTGGGTTCATCCAGACTACCATGTCCTGACTTGCCCTCTCTCAGGCCGTCACCAGGATTATGCCCCCTAGGGCCTGCTCGAATGCCGTACTCACTCTGGCCCCAGAGAGAGGTTCCAGACGCACAGCAGCACTCTTGTGACAGTGCCTGGAGCTAACACCATAGTGACACCCTTAACGTCACTACAAATGTATTAGGGAACACATTTTTATTTATTTTATACGCGAATGAGAATTGGATATAACCCGATTAATCGCTTATTCCTACGCGAGTAGGAATAAGCGATTTTACGGCTGCCTCGGCGTAGCATTGCACAATGCGGGATGCTGCTGGATCCTTCGAGACGCTACCCACGCGTCTGTCTTTGTTCGGCCTGCGTACGCATCTCACACGTTATCGCGGACTCTGCTTTACCCTAACGCGATTTTCCCATAACGCGGCGTTCTTCAGGAACGCAACTACCGCGTTCAGTGCCGGATTAAGCTAGTGCGGGGCCTGTAGCACATGTTATAAAGGGGCCCTAAATAAAAAAAAAACATTAAAACACAAATCTTTTACCTGCATAGTAAAGTAATTGTATTTTTTCATTTGCTATAGTCAGATAATACGACAAATCGCTAACCTTAAACATCCGGTCGTTCATAAAAGTTGAAGGTGGTATAGTACTATAGTAATAGAGCAAGTGTAGAATTACTGAACCCGAATTGATAGCTTGAAAGCATTTAGCGCGGGGCCCTTGAAAGTGCGGTTCCCGTAGCTTATGCTACTTGTGCTACTAGGATAATCCGGCAGTGAGCGCGTTATAGGAGAACAGACTGTACACACAACTACTCATCGTCATTAAATGATTAACCTCTTCCAAGACGCCTGGCCAAGCGCGTAAGAAGAGCAGGCAAAAGCAACCCGTTTCTCTATAGTGGCCCTCTGCGGAGCTCACACGAGACTTGGAGAGGCTCTTTCGGCCAGCAGTGTGGCATGGTTGAGCGAGAAAGCGAAGTCGCAGGCCCTGTTTGCGGCCACCTTTTACCCGTTTCGTCTTCACACGAATCGCCAGGATCCTTTGACGGTGGCCACGTGGGGGCGCACAGGCGAAGGGCATCGCCACAACACCACGAGCCAACATCATTTTTTTCCAGAGAGGCGACGGCATGGGAGGGATGGTGAGCTTTTGAATCGAGGCAGACCCAAGAAGAAACATTCTTAAAGGGTTGTTGTTTGAGTTGTGTCCCGCCTAACCGTCGTGTCGGGGAGTGGTGGTGCAGCGGTTAGCGCGCTGCGCTTCTAACCCGGCGGACCGAGTTCGTTTTACGCTCACGGCCAAAACCCAGTGACGATTCTCTGAACCGATCCCGGGACCTCCCCCTAGGTCGACTCAGCCACGAATTGGTACCCGGTGTGGTGTGTAGTCAACATCGCCACTAGGGAGGCAAAGGCGGCTCGGGGCGTGGTGCTGGACACCCACCCACTCGTGTGCCGTGCCGACATGAATAGGCGCTGGCTAACAGCACTTGCCCCAAAAATACGTTAAGCCTATACGGGGGATCTTTGTCTGTGCTTACCGTGACACTGGTGGCCACTGCGATGAGTCGTGAAGCCACGGACACGAGAGGAAGGAGTGTGGCGAGAGCTCTGTTTGGGGAGACAAGAATAGACCCCAGTGGCTTTTCGGTCACGGGAGGGCCAAAGGTTAATCCTCGTGATGGCAGACAGGGCTTGTGCCCAGACTTACGTACTCATTGGCTGCTTGTAGGGCGTTCTGGAATTCACCATTAAACGTGATCGTTATAGGCTTTTGAACGCTTTTAGCTAGAGGGTGCGATTGTTCGATAAGTTACACAGCGTGGAATGAATGTACAGCACGTTATTCTGGGAATGCTGCCGCGGGTGGTGTGATGGGCGAGCAGCAGAGGTTGCCCTGTTCGATGCTGACCTCTCGGCGCGGCAGCTGAAACACTAGGGGGCACGCACTATCAATTTGAGGAAGTATACTGCACCGTGCATTTGTACAGCACGATTCGACCGACAAGGCCACGTGTTGTGGGGTGGTGCTTGTACAGTGTACCTACAGGGGAGCTGTTAGCGCGCTGTCCTAAGAACCCGGCGGACCGACTTCGATTCCCGCTCGCATCCACCAACACCAGTTGCGATGATCTGAACTGGCCCTGGGTCTCCCCTAGGTTGACTTGGTCTCAAATGAGTACCTGGTGCGGTGTGTAAAGATCGCCGACGTGGTGCTGGCCAACCACCCCCTCGTATGCCGTTGGCGGTCTTCATAGGTGCTCTCGAACAGCACTTGCCCCTACTGTCTTCAGGCTATAGGGGGGATCTTTGTCTTCGTAGGTAATAGTACGCTCCAGTATTCACGACCTTTTCAAAACGTCTGGTCAGCGTGGAAGAGTAGACCAAAATACCCAATAGAGGGCGCTCCCTATAGTTCCCCTCTTGGGGAGGCCTTCTGCCAGCAGTGGCGTGAACGAGGAATTGCAGGGCTGCGCCATGAATGAACCCTTACGGTCTGGAAATCAAATACATTTTCATTCGTAGCTTCCAAAGGAGGCACGCATGTATTCTCTATAAGCTAACCAGTTTATACATAACTCGGACCATGACTCTAACCCATACACATTCATGGATTATGCTAGTAATAATAATGTCCTGTAGAGCCTTTTGTCAATTCATTTCGGAATGGCCTTACCCACACCGTGGCTGGTCACGGCCCCATCAACGAATCATTACAATTGCAAAATGTGTTTATTTTTTAACCAGAGTGTATTGACAAAGGGTTGTAAATTTCGATTTAAAGCTTTCGTGACTGCAATGATTCATCTTCTTTGGTTCTTTCGGTAAAGTCACGTAGAATGAGAATAAAATAATAAATTGATAAAATAAAATAACACAATAATATTCTCACGACGTTTTGGCCACAACACAAGCGGCCTTCATCAGGTGAAGGGACGAGACTGTCTGGTAGGACCAAAGAAAAAGGGTTGTAAATTAACCACAGTAAATAATACTGGTAGGAACCTCCTGGTTACACCAGCCCACAGGGGATTATTGTGTCAGTCGTGCATCCAAAAATGGGAGGAGTGGGGCTGGGTGGGGAGGGGATGGTGGGGAGGAGCTGGGTGGGGAGGGGAGGGTGGGGAGGGGCTGG